TAACTTATTTCATCATAAGTAGCCAAAAAGCCAGTCATCACTTCAGTACTTCATTATCTAAATTTAACCTGCCCATAGTACACCAACATCCAAATTAAATCTACAAGCATATAAATGCTGTTAATGGTGCAGATGTTGGTCAAAAGATGGTTTCCGAAATGTTGAAACTGAAAGTATATACCCATGAGTATGGAAACAATATGAATGTATCCTTTGAATTTTGACTGTTGATTGACATATCTTTATATGATCTAACCTGGTCTACACCTGTTTGAAAACTATCTGGTAAGAATTCTAACTGTTTAACTGATGTAACTTTATTAGGTAATTCTATAATACGTAATATACGCCTTGTATCGAGAGACCATAGATGAATAAATCTTGTTTTTCCACCCGCAGCTAGCAGTCTACCATCTCTAAATATCGAAGAAAATATGTCAAAAAAAAAGACTAGTCTAATGCAGGGATTTCTAAACATTTGATTCCTAATTTGAATGATGAAAATTGAGCATAACGCCCAGATACACATAAGAAAAGCTAGAAAACCTCTTTACAATCTCTTTAATGCATAATCAAGTTCTTGTGACCTTTTGTACATCTCCAGACTCCAATGTTCATTATCTGGACTTTTTAAAAATAACTAATGACCTTCGTGAGCAAACCGAGAAGCAGAAGACAAACCTGGTTGTAGCAAAAACTTTATAATGTGGTGAATCTCCATCAGGTACTGGTAGCTGATATTTACAGGACAATGTTTCTGATTCCCAACCAAATATAGAATCATCTTTAAAACAGGTTATAATTGTATTACTTATTGGTAAGAAAAAGGCCTGAAATACAATTTACTTATTGTTGATAGTTATTTCATAATATCAGCTATCAAATTTTTCTCTCTACAACACTGATTAAAGTTTTTAATGCACATGATCTTGTCAACCACGTGCAACAAGAAAGTACAGTTTCAAATTCAATTTGACAATACACTGATACAAAAGCATTGTGCTTTTACAAGCTGTTTCTATGCATATTGAGGAAATAAATATTAAATGTTATCGCTTAGGATAAGAATTTGGTTTATATACACAAACTAAGCAACCAACCTTCAACAAGGGTACATCCTCTTTGTTACTGAGTTTTTTCTGTAATGAGAAGTTATCTAGATCCCAGAGTAGAGCTGTCTCTGAGGATGTGGTTAAAGCATATTTTCCTGATGCATGTATTGATATAGAATGTATAGCTGTTGTATGTCCTTTCATAACAGATATCACAGATTGGCTCACTACAAATAAAACAAAACATTTATTAAAACACCTTTCACTTTGTTTTAAACTAAGTAAATAAGTTGTAACTAACTGGAATCAAGAAAAGATTTTTTGGACTTATCTGGGTACAATTTAACAAACACAACAACTCTTTCTATTTCTATCTTATTTAACCTAATAATCGAAGATTGTACAAGTATGAAATAACAAAATTTTACCAGTATCATAGCATTGTAATGAATAATCAGCTAAACCAACTAAAAACTCTGTTTTTCTAGCGTTATTAAAACATAAAGCTGTACAAGGTTGACTAGACTTCTCTATTAGTGAAAACCTATAAAATATTATAACAAATTTAAAATTGTCTTCTTCAGCATTCACTTTAAAAAATAAAGACAATTGCTCTGTACATTTCAAAATTGTCTATTTTAACATTCATGTTTCTACTAAGTACTGTGGTAGGCACTGTAGACCATTAGCACCATAACACATAATTGCAATTTTACAATGGAATATGTCATCTTGGCACCCCAGAGTAAGAGAGCCCTTCTATAGCCAATGATGTTTTGGTATATATATTTATGTCATCATTCTAAAGTAGACCCCGAAGTCGGTCACAAATGTAATTGTGACTGACTCCAGTAAATTGTGACTGAAATTTGCAACAAGTTTAAAAATTGCAATTTAGACAATGACTGGTAAATAAAATACGACTGACGATTTCGGATAATTCTGACAACTTAGGGGCCTTATCTTAAATACTCACTTATTTCTTTCTAAATCAAACATAAAGATATTGCCTTGATGATCTCCAGCTAAGAAACTGTCACCATTTTTATTGAATGAGGAATGTAGAAATCTGACATTCCGACCTGGGGTTGATAAAGCACCAGATACATTATTGCTAATTTTCACCATTAATCTAAAATATAGTGCATTAACTGTCACTCGAGATGTTAACTGACAACATAAAAAGACTTTCATGAAACTACAATCAATTTCTGAATATGTATTTGGCAATTGAGTGAATTAAATACAACAATACTAAAATTGACAGAATAAAACATGACCTCACCCATTGTCACTGGATGGTACAGGTTTTCTCTGCCATATTTTACCACCAGTTTTCTTGCAAACATCCAATGTCTGCATTGTGTCTTAAAACTGTTACTATACTGCAGATGTTATCTACAAATACCAAAAATGTCAGATTAAAAGACCTACTGCCATGTAGGCCTATTTCCAACTCAGTGTCCTCACTACTTTGCCAAACCCAGTCAGTGTGTCACATTCTTTACTTTAATCATAATAATAATAATGTATGACCCTGCTATCCTGAGAGTAATGCTGAATATGTTCTCGTTTTGACAACTTCTGCATTCTTTTTAATATGACAGGCAAGTTCACATTCCGATGGGCAACCAATGTTTACATTTCATTTGAATGTAGGCCTACTTCAAACTTGTCAGTTTTACATTTTTGTCATTTTTGATATGTTGGCAAAGAATAAAAAATAATGTCTAGATCTACATCTACAAAACCACATCTTACAAAATGTTCACTTTAAAACCGCCACATTTAATTACATACTGATCTACGCCAGATTAAAACTGTCAGAAAAAGAGTGATGTGAAAAAAATTGTAACATGTCAAGACATAACATTTTTATTGAATATTTTCTAATATGGCGCCTCTGACTACGAAGAAACTTCCGGAGCACGTGATAACAAAAACTTCCGGGTCAAGTAGTGACGTCACGCAGCGTTGACATCACCAAATCAGAAAATTATTCCCTCAACAACATCGCAAAATGTCTTACGCTTATTTATTCAAGTACATTATAATCGGTGATACGGGTAAGTAGATGTTTATTGTTACATTTAAGCATTTAATCTAAACACTTATGACGCAATTTTTGGCTTTACCCAAGAAAATATGCCATTTTTTACACGCTAACTGATCGATTTTATTTCAAAATGGCGGATAGAAGGCAGATTGAGATTGGCAGAACTGACAGAACCAGGAGAAACAGAATCAAGCCCGGAAAAGTTACACTTGCTGAAACGTGAATCTTTTTGTAACATGAATAAAATTAGGTCTTTGAAATCAATTATCCACATTATTATAGTAAGTCTGAACCCTTTATGGATAGTTCAGTGATGATATGACAATGCCAATGGCATGGCTTCTCTCCCTGACTTCTAACCAAGTTTGTGCAGTAACAGCTTTAATCTAGCCTACATTCTCACTTAAATCTTGCATTGATATTTTCACAGCAGACAGGGTCAATATAAGAATAGTTAGAGCATCTATATATTCACATGATAACAAAGTGGTAGAGATTATCCATAATATAATGATATAGACAGTTTCAAATTTTGGTACCGTAGACGTAGTTACACCCCAGAGGCACAAGTTTTCATACAGGTCTTCAATTTATAAGTGGCTTGGTAATCAGAACACTCTACTTTAAATTTATGACAAAACACATTGTAGTGTATAATTGAGAATATGCACAATCAAGTAAATGGTTACTTTAAAGGATTTTTGTGTCTAATTCAGATTTGGTCATTATTAGGAAAAATAGGTTTTTTTTTTTCAGTATTTGACTTGTTGAGCTCCAAGTTATAATCTAATCCATTATGGTGTATAATGTGCCGTAGTTATTAGCAATTGTCATTTGAAAACTCCCTAACAAAGGCCAATGAAGGCATGTTTATATGTATTCAGTTCACAAGAGAAATAGCTTTGTGCATCAAATAGGTAAAGAGAAGAAATCAATATGTGTCCAATTCATTTCTTATACCGTAGTGAATTATATCAAGTTCACTCACTTTGTTAAAAGTCCTTGATGTAAGCTTATTGATTTTAGAATGCACCCAAATGTAAATGCTTGAGTGTCTGGTACAATTTTTATCTGTTAATTGACTAAGCATGTATATTTTTTGAAGGATATTATAAGGTCTATAGGTTTATAAAGCAACATAATTATATTTCTGTAAAGTCATTATGTTCACGTTATCCTTTTGTGGTATTCAGATTTGCAGAAAGAGTTAGAATCTAACAAGTATGGTTGGATGTAACCATCATTATTTTTGGGTATGCCCAACCTCCTATTAAGCTTCGATGTTCACGATTAGAAATAATCTCAGTGCAAATTTAGATGAAAGATGGGACTGAGAGGCATGTAGGAAATCAAATCTTTGTATTTTGTATTACCAGTCTATGGTCTCTATGGTCTAAAGATGAAGCTAGTCATAGTCAAGAAGTTTGATAAGCTGATCTATGTCCATGACTATCTATTTATATCTTGTGACCAACACTATTTATAGAATATGACAATAAACCCTTACATTGTCACATTTGTATTTGGCAATGATGTCATTTCTTTGACCAGTAAGCTTATACATTAACTAGAACTAATTTAATTATCTTTTATGTCAAATAACTTTCAAATAATGTTTATCTTATATCTCGTATGTAAAATATAGTAATGGAGACTTTTCTCCAAGTCCCATCCCAATTTCATTGACTTCCAAATTTGTTTGGTTTGTCAAATTATAAGCATTCCTGCAGCACCTTAATATTTAATTGATGAAAATGATAAGGACCACCTGTTGATTTTGAATAACTAGAACAGATGTTGAAATTGTTAATTGATTACATGTAGGCCTATTATCAACCAGCACCATAATGGCTGCTATTTTGTATGTCTTTGTTCTGTGTCAAATAAAGAAATCAATGAATATTACATTGGACAATGTAGTGGGAGACAACCTTATGTTAAAGAGGCTTATTTTGTTGTGTTATAAACTGGTCTAGTCTGGGTATATTAAAGGAATAGTATGCAAAATTGTTATTATTAAATACATTGTGTAATTTATACATGATAAAAAGATTTCTAAAACATGCTATATATACATTTATTTACTTCTTGTATAAGCTTCCACTTGATCAGTCTGAATTTGTTTGAAAGACATCTTGATTTTTATTGATGTTTGAGCCGTTTAAGATAACAGAAAATGTATCTAATATTATAAGCTTTATACCAGTACTACAGTTATGCTATTGATTATTTTAATGACTGTATAATCTGAACCCTATAAAACTAGTTTCGTGTAATATGTCAAATTTTATTGTACCGGTACTTAGTACGAAATTGGGTTTATGTCCTTTTTTTTTTTTATTCTAGAAACTGACATGTGTAATGAGTTCCCTTATATGCATGTTAGTACAGGGATATGAGCCCAGCACAGGTTAACTTAATTAACACCCAAAGAATTATCTAGATGCTTTTTCAAATCCTAATCCTATTGACAGAGGAAACTGAAATTAAATCCTAGGTTAGAAAGCACCCAAGTCCTAAGAGATTTGACAAAAAAAGGGGAATCACTAAGGGCAAATGGATTTTGGCTGCCTTTAAAATGACTTTTGAGCATTTAGAGGGCTTAATTTTAACTTCGAAATAACCTTTCACAGGCCTGAGATAGGGAATGGCCCAATGGTACATTGTCAGTGGTACTTGGCCACAACTTTGATTTTGTTGACAACCAGTTAGCTTCCAGTTGGCTCATTGATTGGTTTATATTTCAGGTGTTGGTAAATCCTGCCTGTTATTACAGTTCACAGATAAAAGATTTCAACCAGTACATGACCTCACTATAGGTAAGATTTTGTTATTGATACTGGTACTTGTTCCCCTATAAATATGGAACGATCCTGATCCGGTCACTAGTCCATGGTACCAAATGACCCCTTCAACATTGAGCCTTATTTTGCGTTATGTAAGCATGGACAGGTTACTTAGTCGCTGTGGATGTATTGTGTATTATGGATGTTTTACAATTGGTTTTTAGCAAAGACTAGTGTCAGATAATATGAGCTTATAGATCCATTTAGAAGTTCCTGAATTGAATCTTTAAGTGTTGGCTGTCTAATTGTGGTATGTCTTTTTTTACAGGTGTAGAGTTTGGCGCTCGTATGATAACTATTGATGGTAAACAAATCAAATTACAAATATGGGACACAGTAAGTTTATATATATTTTATATGAATACTACCTCTTACAGTGGACAAAAAATTTAGAGTCTGAAACTTGGTCAACAAGTGTATATATTCATCAATTGGACTTACCAGGTGCCATGATTAAAGATTCTATCTCTATTATGAGACGATATATCCATTAAACTAAACGATTAAATTGTAAAACTTTTCTAAGCCTGTTTCAAATTGACTTTACTTAATGAATTATTACTTAGTTTTTACTTGGGTTATACAGGGATTCTGTTGTATAATTCGATACCAAACAAAATTTGATTTTTGGTTATCCTAAGAGGTACCTTTGAAATTCTTCTGTGTTTGTATTTTAAAATGAAAATTATTTCTTACTATCTCTTTAGTTATTGACTAGATTTTTTGGTCCTTAATTATTACTTATTAAATGATTGTGTAATTTATTTTTCTATATCCATTTTCTATGTATTCAGAAGTATTAATATGTATCTCTGTCTATCTCATATGATTAAAACAACATGTGTTACTATTATGTATAATAACTTCAGATCAATATTACAAATCTACTTACCTTCAATTTATTCCTCACTGAAGTGTCACTCAAGCCTTGCTCACATAACATTTAAATTGAGTAGGATGCTGGCTGAAAATAGGTCATCTGTCTGAAAATTGTATAGCGTGAAACTCTAGTAACAACATGATTCAAGTTCTGTTTAAATATCAAAAATTGATACGAATATATCAATTATGTAAGAATATAACAATGTTGCTTTACAAACTAAAAGGATATCACCAAATGAGTGTCAAAATATCTCCATGAGACATAAAACTTTGTAGCAAAGGATAGTCCTAGATGTGTCATTTGATGTAAAAATCTGTAAGCTTACAAACAAAAGAATTCCAGTAAACAAAAATCTCGTTCAAAGCATGATTAAATTGTGAGCAATAATGGTATAGTAGTGGACTCCTCAAACAAGAAGTATCATGAGGAGTTTTGAAAAGAGTAAAACTATTTGAAATGTATGCAGATTTGTTACTGTTATTGTAACACATAGTTAGTGTGATTTGTAAATTAAATGACGTTTCAGATGCTTTTTATCAAACATGAAGATCAAGTTTTGTTTTGCATTACCTAAAAAGATTTATTTATCTTC